AGGAGAGTAGGAATAAATGTATCCTGAAAAACACTAGTCACTCAGTGGTATACCAGAGGTTACAAAGAAAACAATCAAGAAAAGAAAAACAAATGAGAAAATCAAAGTCTTCTTTCAACCTTCATTGTATAGGCTCCACCACTGCGTAATTCCTCCCAACTTTTTGATCTCTTTTCTGCTTCTCCCTCACTTCATTACTCACCTGACGCCATTCCTAAAGTTCAGGCCTTAACTTGCCATTCTTTTGTTTTAAAGATTCTCCTTTAGATAACTCACTTGCTTATGAATTATTAGCAATTATCTGTGAGGGTGTCTTAACCTAGAGCTCCAGGCTGGGCTTCTTTCCTTTTGACTTTTTTTGTCTTCCCCTCTTTGACTTTTCCACCATCCCTAGCAGCTGATTCATATTGGCACAGAGTTTGCCATGAAGTCCTTTCAATCCCTCCTTCTCGCTTACACTTTAGTTCCATACAAACTATGGGGACCTATCATTTTCATGCTCAAAAACCTCAACAGTCCAAATTTCTTGGCGTGGTGTCAGACTCGCAATATACTTCTTCCCCATCTGGTACTTTATTTTAAACTGGCCAGCTGATTTCTTAACACTCAAACCCCATAGTATGATATTTATTAAAATGCAGTAACAAATATTTTAATTATCTTGATTTAAAAGAAGGAATTTTACTATTTTCTGTAGACTACAGAAAATCTTTAGGTTTGGACTGTGTTGAATAAAGAAAATAGATAATGCCCTGTACTCATCAACAAATACGTTCTTTTGTTTTAATGTTGCCACACTTTGCTTGACTAAGTGAAAGATATTTAATAAGTAGCCCTCCACTTCTAAGAAGTGAGTAACCCAATCAAAATCGAACCTCCCCTACATCTGATCCAACAACTCTTTGAAGCTATGCATAGACCAAACAATCAAATATCTCCTTTTGATGATAGATAACTTAAAGGGAGGAGATGGGAAGCGGTTAACTGTGTTCACAGCTGGAACTTTAGCAACTGGCACATCAAATTCCACTTATTTGGGTGACATTAAGAGATTTGATTTTTCTCCTTAATATATACATTAATAGTTCCATTGAAGTATAAACATAAACATGTCTGTTCATTCAACACATTCTTATAAACACTTATATGCCTGATACCAATCCAGCTAAGTATTGGGGTTATAGCAGTCAACAAGACAGATATGCTCCTTTATGCCTTATTTCCACTCTGATGAAACTCATGAGTAGTGTGACAGACATTGAATAAAAACATCTTCAGGACAGTATGTATTATAAAATGGGAAGACTAGGGTGTCGCCAGAATGTACAGTTCTACAAGGTTCAGACTGGGGTTCAGAAAGGGCATCCTGAAAAAGTGCATACATGCTACTGCTGCTGCTGCTGCTGCTAGGCTCACTCTTGTCCTTGGGTTTTGGCCTCATTTGTATTTATCCTTCAAGTCTCAGCTTGCATTTCAGATCCTTTCTAGAAGCCAACTCTAAACTGTCCTCATGAAGTCTGGATCAGTCTTTCTGACTTTCTTGCCAAAATTTTTTGTGTTAACTCTAACCTGGCATTTACCACAAGTAGGGCAATTATTACTACTCTGTCTTTCAACTAGATGGTGCATTCTTAGAAGGTATCTATAAATCTTAAGTGCTTAGCAACCGCTTAATAAATTTTGCTGAATAAATAAAGATTTAGCACATACTTAATTTCTGCCTGTGGCTTTACAGCCAAAGCAAAAGAGAACAGGTACAACTTGTAACCAAAGTGTTTTTGGTAGATGTTTGGACCACAGCACAAAGGCTGGATGATTCAGTGCATGAGACGTCTGCTTCTGAAGTTCACTGAAGTTAGAATGCTTGAGGTCAGTTTGCTAAAATACATATAGGGACATTTTAGCCCCAACGACCAGGAGGATACTTTAGCAGATTTTTTTTTCTATTCTGAGATAAAAGATGCTCTCTCTATATATAAAAAGAAACCTAAGAAGTCTGAGACTATAGCTTTGATTTAAGAAAGCACAGACAATACACAGACAGCAAAAGATATACAGACAATAAAAAATTAAAACTGCAGCTAATAAACTCAAATTTGGGCTTTGGATATCTATTTTTTACCCAAGTCTTCTATAATATTTCTAACAGAGCATAGGTTTATTAAAATTAACATAAATGTTTTAATACTGACTTTATTAAAAGAAATAAAAAGTGGTCATAATTAATTCTAGATTATTTTCATAATCTAAACCTCAGACTAGGAAAACAGTGCTATCTAGTGGTTAAATTTGGGAAGAAGAGATGAGGCACACCAGAGGCTGGAGAACCTCTGAGAGGCTGTGTCTCAATTGATCAACTTTATGTTACAAGCTAAAAGAAGTACGCACATAAGTCATTAGCTCATGGATGGGAAGTGAATTAGACATGGATTCAAGCAGTTATGTTAAGAGTATGGCATGGCAAAGAAATTAACAACTTGGACTCTGAAGTCAGATAGGCATGCATTCAAAATTTGACTACATGACTACATGCCCTTAAACAAGTTATCAGACCTGCTTAATACTTGACTGGTTTCAACTATGAAATGGAGATAAAAATATTGACTCTCTGAGAGAAATGTTTGAGAAGGTTAAATGGGTAATATGCATAAGACATTCATCATAGTGCTTGGCATTTAGTAAGCCAAATATCTCAGTCAACATTAGCTTATTATTAATATTATTATTATTTTACATAGCCTATAAATGAATTTCAAATAGCTGTAGAAAATCTTTTACGTCTTTAAAAATAAGTTATGAGATCAATATCAACAATATATACTTGTAGAAAATATAAATATTAGACATCAATTTTCTTTTAAGTATATAAAAGCAAATTTAAAAAGTAAGTTCAATCTTACATTTCAATCACATAGGTCAGTCGTAGGGTTAGTATTTTCAATGAAAACAAAGTAGTTTTTAGAAATAGATTACACAATGAACTCCAAAATGTCATCCCATAGTAAAAACAATCACTAGACTTTTTTCAATGAAGACATTTTCCTTAACCAAATCCTGCATTTTTCAACATCTAGTCCAATAAATCTACATACACATAGTTCTTAAGATAAATTTGGTCATTTGGATTTCTTTCTACTTGGTTAGAAATATGAAGGGAAAACACAACAGAAATATGAATAGAAAATAATTTCTAAAAATGTAGGAACCCATCACATTTATATTAGAACAGAGAATTTGATCTTTTTGATATATCTTGTTTGGCTTGCTGTATAATCTACTAGCTTAATTATCACAACAGCCTTAGAACTTAAGCCAGTACATATTAGCTTTATAAAAATGCAGTGCTCATCTGCTGTATATATAATAAACAGAAACATCACAATTTATAAGTAATTGCATCTGAGACATTATATCCCAGACACTTTACTAATATTATAGTCACAAGGCTGAGTTCTCCAAGACCAGTGTACAAAGTTATCTGAACTAATTTTGCCCCAAATAGTATCTAAAAATATATATTTTAAGTTAACTGTAGAATGGTATATGCGTATCATTAATCATATCACAATCATTGTGTTTGGCTGTGGCTCTTTGTTAATGACTTAAAATGGGGGCTGAGTTGATTATCTTGTTAATAATAATAAAAAAATAACTGAAGCACATATACCAAATCAAGAAAGAAATACAATAGGAATTGGAACTATATTCTGGTCACAGTTGTGTCACTAACCAGCTCTGTACTCTTAGGAAGTTTTCAGCCTCTCTGGGTTTCCATTTACTCATGGATAATACAAAATAATCCTAAGATCAGGATAGTTCTCCTCTCTACAGGTTTTGCCATTGTAAAATACGTCACAAGGGCTCTAAATCATAACCCTAAATTTAGGAATTACTTAATTATTCACAGTGAACTTCTCTGACTTATTCCAACTCTTCCTGTTTGTATTGCTATACAAGAGAAAGGCAAGACAAAACACAAAAAAGATCTATTTAAGAGACTGCAGTATATTTTTACCTTTACTGTCATTTGTTAAGCACCTACTATATATATTTTACCTTAGGCAGTAAGGATCCACACACCTATTAAAAGATAATTACATCCATGTCTTTTTCTTATTTACCCCGTAATTATTTTAGGCTTCCCTAGAAATTGGCACAGGTTTTTCTCTCAGTCACATGTTAATAATTCTACTTAACTCATCTGCACCCAAAAAACTGGTACAAAATCTGTCAAGTTGTTTTACATTTATAAATCTGGCAAACATTAGTGACAATCTCACTCTGAAAAACAGCACTCACAATCAATGAATATGTTTTGACTGTGGAAGGTAGGCAGGACCCAAGGACATAACACAGAGGGAAAAGAACCAAAGCAAATAAAACCCAATCAACATGAAATGGCACCCTGAACAGAGCAGAGAGTTCTATGAGGTTGGGCATGGAGGACTGGTTAGAGATTTTTGAGAGGAGTCCATCTTAGATGAATATCAGAGACTAAGTTAATTCACCTTCTTAGTGATTTTATCACATCCTTCCACAATAATACCACATGAAGCTCATCTACGTTTATGATTTTGCCAAAATGCCAGTTAAGGTATTTCTAACTACACTGGTGAATGTGAGAGATTAAAACAGATGACAGATTCAATACTTCAAATTGTATCTTGACTTATAGTAAGTCCACTATTTTAAAAAGTGTTATGAGAAAGAGTGCCTTGGATAACACTGACGAGCAATGATTGAACGTTAACTTCAGATAATTATAATAATAAAAAATTCACTAAAGACCTGATAGAAGAACTTAAGACACAACCTCAAGGCAATAATATAAGGATGAAAAATACGAGTACACAATCTCATAGCAAATATGTACATGCACACATTTTTACTATTTTAGTTATATTGAAACTTGAGAATTTCACAGCAGTCTACTAAAATCACAGATCAATAGGATAAAAGTAGATAAGAAGAATGTGCAATTTATAAATACGGTTTATTACCATGGTTACAAACTTTCAGAACAGGCCTCTGAGACATTGGACTGAGACTCTGCCGAACATCTGTTAAAAAATATATAAAATAAACTTAATATAGAGGTCTATGCATCTCAAGAAGGAAAACAGTATTAGATATACTTTTTTCCAAGGTTAAGTATTTCTGGCAGCAAAGTAATGCTTCAATACCCTGAAATACTTGAAGCAATAATGTTATGACTTTTACTTCCCATTTAATTATGCTACTGTAAACTCCACTGGGATAAGGTACATATGGTTCTTTAGATGAGACTTGTCACACTAATCAGGATTTTCTAGGTTCAGTGCATTGATTTGTTAATGTGCTACTGACATCGGCCAACTGGAATGCATATCTCTCTGACATTTGTCTGTGCAAGGGATTAAGCAAACTTATGAAACTTCTGAACAGTTGTTGCCCACGGCACTGCATTCTTGACACATGACTTTAAAAGAATGAGAAAACCAGGTTCTTTCTCTGTGATAGCTCCCTAGAAAGTAGCATGAAACAAATATAGGGTTCACCTTTCGGCATCGGTGTCCTTTTTCTTCTGTCGCGGAAGGCAGCCCCGGACTGCAAGGCCTCCAGCAGATTATCCATCACTCCTGTCTCATCACCCTCTGTGAAAAGAGATGCAGGGAATTCCATCAGCCCTCAGGGTTACCATAGCAATGTCAAAGCTCCACAGAAACTGGTGATGGTGATGGTAGGGAGAAAAAAGATCAGATGCCGGAACTAAGCTAGCAATTTCAAAATAAGACAGGACTGTAACTCTCTCATAAATCAACAATCTTTTAACGAAAAGGGCCTCATTAGTGCCTATGTTACTGTGCACTAAAGAGGACCTAGTTCCACTGATTCACTTCAGAGCACTGCTTTTATAGTCCAACAGCATAATTACCTTAAATGGAATGTGGTTCTAGTCATGTTTGAGTCTTCAGTTATCATAAATCACATTTCCTTTGTAGAAATGAGCTATTTTCAAGGCATCATCCTATATTCTAAAGTCAACCAGGTATAAGAGAGTGGGTTTTTTTTCTTTTTTTTTTTGAGACAGAGTCTCGCTCTGTTGCCCAGGCTGGAGTGCAGTGGCGCAATCTCTGCTCACTGCAAGCTCCACCTCCCAGGTTCACACTGTTCTCCTGCTCAGCCTCCTGAGTAGCTAGGACTACAGGTGCCCGCCACCACGCCCAGATAATTTTTCAAATTTTTAGTAGAGATGGGGTTTCACCATGTTAGTCAGAATGGTCTCAATCTCCTGACCCCGTGATCTGCCCGCCTCAGACTCCCAAAGTGCTGGGATTACAGGCGTGAGCCACCACACAAGGCCCGGAGAGTGTTTTTGTTGTTACTGATATTCTGCTGTCTAAACTTATGAAATTATATTTCCATGCTAACTTTTGTGAACATGCTTCCAACAATTGATTTTTCATATCAGAAGATAATCATCCCCTGACTTGAGGTGACACAGAACAATCACTACAAAATTTTACAGAATGTATAAATTTACCTTCTATAATGAAAAATAAATCAAAAGAGGCTCTCTAAAAAGGACTGCATTCCATTAAGATTACTTTAAATTGATATCTTGTATATAATTAACGAAAGACATGGATATAGAGCCAATTATCTCTACAAAGAACAGATTATGCCTGTAATATTTTTAAGTATTTATAGTTATCAGTGTTAAATAGTATTCAAAGAAAGCAGGAGAAAAAGTTTCAAAGGAACTACTGGCCGAGACCAAATTCAAGGAAGCACTAAGGATTTTTTGTCCGACCAGACAAGGTAACTTGCAGGCATTCTTTATGAAATTGTATGGCCGGTATACTGCTACATTTAAAATAGTGGAAAGCTATTTTCCTTCGAACTTTTTATTTTTTTTTCCATTTTCATACACAATTCCTTTACAAAGATGAAAAGTGACTGCAGTAGAATACAAATAACATACTCATTTACAGTTTATAAACAGATATATAAATATAAATATGTATCAGCCACTTTTCCATCTGCTGCTGTTACATATTTGTAGAACAGTACTAAACCTTGTAGGTGTTATCAAAAAAGGTGGGTGAGAAATAGAATATTTGGAAGTTGTTAATTTACAGTAAATGTAATTCTAAGTGATTTGATGGCTATTTTAACTAAAATACATTAAATATTTCAGACAGTTAAATAAGTAGCTATTTGAAAATTTATATTCAAATTCAACTATATTTTTTCCTTAAAAACTGCAGGCAATGTCAAATATTTAAGGTAGTAAAAGAAAAAGAAAACATTTCTAAATCTAAAATTAAAATTTTGAATCTTTTTCAAGCAGTCATGAGATTGAAAAAAAATCCTAGTACTGAAATCAAATAGAAACAAATAAACATGTTTTCAAATTGATAGCATTAATTATAAAGGAGGGGAAAAAAGAATAAACCCAAGTAACTTTTGAATACTTTAATGGCATAAAGTTTAAGGGAAAAATCTATAAAGAAAATGTGAACTTTCTTCTTAAATTTGTTGTTGGTAGTGGTATTGATGTAGTGATTCTGAGACTATTGTGTGTGTATAAAAGGTGGAGCAGATGTGTAAATGTGCTGATGTGCTCACTGTGGGAAAGAAAATGGAAATATGGAATTGGAGAAAAAGAAAAAGAACCATGAAGGGTTGGATTGGATTTATAGGTGTTAATGTAAACTCAAGCCTTAAAAAAACAAAACAAACAAACAAAACCCTTTTCCTGTAACACTATAGTAGTATCAATGAGCATTTGGATCTTGGTTTCTAGCTACCATTACTAGCCCTAAAATCTTGGTTTCCAATTACCTCTCTCTCCCTAAGATCTTGGTTTCTACATACCATTACTCCCTAAAAGGAATGACAATGCTTACAGAAATGGCTGATTCTAGAACTGAGGCCAAGAAAAGTGTGAAATGAGTCAGAAACATATTGTTGTGACAGAAAATAAGAAAGTGCTCAAAAATAGATAGTGATATGTTGAAAAGACAGAGAAGCCAGATTGAAACATTGCCTTGGCCAAATTTAGGACAACTGAATATCAAATAAATAATGATGGGAATGGGATTATTGCACATTGGGGAAAAAAGAATCATGCATCCATAGTGATACTAAAAAATACATAGTAATAAAAATGTAGGAAGGAGAGTTCCTCTTTAAAGAAAAGCATCAACTAATAGATGTCAAAGATATGAGGGAAATACAAAATTCACCACATTACAATTCACATAGTAAGAAATGATTCAGGCAGGAGTCGTCAATGGCTTCAAAAACTATTGTGTGTAAGGATGTGGAGGAACAGGATATAGAGAAATTTGGTAGATACCACCTTATCCAAATAATCAAATTTGACATTACCAATAATGTGGAATATGCTGATACCAATTGCCTCCTGAAGTGATGCACAACTTAATCTGTGTAGCACTTTGCACAAAAATATTGAACTTGAATCTGAATGTGAGGCAACAATCATACAAATCCAAAGTGAGGGACATTCTGTGACACAATTGGCCTAGGATCTAAAAATGTATCAATATCATGAAAGATAAAGAGAGGAAGAAACAGAGAAAGAGAGAAGAAAAGGCTAGATAACTATTCTGGATTAAAGAAGACTAAAGAGACATGACAATTAAGTATAGAGGAGTCCCTGATTAGCTCCTGAATTGGAAGAAGTTATACATGACGTTATTGGGATAACTGGAGAAATTTTAATATAACTGGATATCAGATAATTACATTGTACCAATGTTAAGTTATCAGAGTGTGATAATTGTATTATGGTTCACTAGAATAATCTCATTGTTCTTAGGCTCACAGCTTTAGGCTCACAAAGCAACTTACACAGTCTCATGTTTATTAACTTCATGCCTTTGAACATGCTATTGTATGTACACAGAACATCTGACTCACTGTCTTCACCAAGCTAGCTCTTACCCTTCCTTCAAAACAGAGAACTGAGAATACTTTCCTAACCCATGTGACCTAACTAGGTGCCCCTCTGTGTTCCAGTGGTCTGTAATACATAAAACAATAAATTTTTTACAATGTTATATTGTTTATGTGACTGTTTCTACCTCTAAATCGTGAGCTCACTGAGGGCAGGGATTATAGATTTCATTTATCTTCAACACCTGGCAAAATGCAACTATTACATAGAGAGTGTTCAACAAATATACGTTGGCTAAATTAGCTAAATATATGTTGACTAACTTAACTAAGATGGTCAGCTGGAAGGGTTGGTTATGTAGGAGAATAAAGGTCATAGATGGACAGGGGTCTAGGGAAGAGATGGGAGTACATTCCCGCCACCATTCTAAACAACACAGCCTTCTTTCTTCCTTTTCCCTTGTCACATACATCTATTTAGTTGTCAAATATTATAGATTGAAACTCCCCATTATCTCCTGAACTGATCTGCTGTTCCTTTTCTAACTACACTTTATGTTGGTAGAACAGAACTGAATTATTTTTTACCTGGAATACTGCATGAGGTGCCTAGTCACCTTGCTTCCAGTTTCTCCCTAATTCAGCCCATGCATTACTGACAAGGAAGTCCAACAGCAGAAATGATCTTCAGTTCCCCCAGTCACAAAGTTTCAGTATATCTCAGTTCTTACAATATAAAGTCCCAACTCCTTTTTTCATTTTTATTTTTAATTTTCTTTTTTTCACTCAAATGGATTCTGACAAAGTCCAAACTCTTATTCTTACTCCAACAATGACTTCAATTGTGTTTCCAATCTTACCTCTTACTTCCAACCATCACAACCTATTCTTTAGCTAAAGGCAACTGCCTGTGATTCTCTACAAACATTCTTTCTCTTGTCCATCACTGTCCACCTGGAACCTCTACCCCTGCTGTCATCCCCCAGAGCAGATGGCTATTTTTGGCCTTCACTCTCACATGCATAAGGGGAAGAATATAATAATGAAGTAAAACAACCTGCATTCTAGTCTGAGCTTTCAACTAACTACCTGTGAGACACTAGACTATTATTTACATAATCATTCCTGACATATGCAATACAGACAATACCTGTCTAGAGGTTAATGAAGGAATCAAATGAGAAAATACAAATGAAAGCACTTGGTAAATTGCTAAGTGTTATAAAAATATAGGGAAATAAATTCACAGATAAAATCCATAGTAAATTACAGGACATGTATGAAATGCCTGCTTATTATTGAATGTTTCAAGAACTGCTTTAGATATATTACAAATGAAGGAAGTCTTTTTTTTTTTTTTTTTTTTGAGATGGAGTCTTGCTTATTGCCCAGATTGCAGTGCAGTGGTATGACCTCAGCTCACTGCAACCTCTGCCTCCTGGGTTCAAGTGATTCTCCAGTCTCAGCCTCCCAAGTAGCTGGGATTACAGGTGTGCACCACCACGCCCAGCTAATTTTTGCATTTTTACTAGAGACAGGGTTTCACCATGTTGGCCAGGCTGGTCTCGAACTCCTGACCTCATGTGATCTGCCATTTTTCAAACATGTGAGTGTCTATACATGCCGTCTTAGAAAGAGACTGCAAGATGTGCTTTTGCAAAACCAAAACAAGAGGGGTAGAAGAGTAAGAAAGAGGAAAACATGGCATCCAGAAAAGGACAAGGGACAA